CTATGTGAATTTCAGATTTTGGAGACGAGAGAGACGATTGACATTGCTAAAGAATGTACTGGACTCTACTGCCTCCAAACTGAAGCGTTAGAGCCAGAACTCAATGCCAACTCTTGTGCTATGGTACCTAAAAATAAACATTTTGTAATATTGTGGTACTATCAGCTTGGCCACCTAAATTTCATGTACTTAAGAAGCATGCTTCCCACATTATTCAATAAAAATCAAGAGTTATTTCAATGTGAAATATGTCAATTGTCCAAACATACCTGCAGCTCATACCCGCCTTAACCCTATAAACCCTCTCAACCTTTCTCCATAATTCATAGCGATATATGGGGACCATCACGGGTAAACAATGTCACGAGATCAAGATGGTTTGTCACCTTCATAGACGATCACACATGGGTCACTTGGGTGTTCCTAATGAAGGAGAAATAATAAGTTGGTAAAATATTTGAATTTTTTCATACTATGGTGGAAACGCAATTTCAAAGTAGGATTAAGGTACTTAGGAGTGATAATGGTCGAGAGTATTACCACTCTGCACTAAGTTCCTACCTTCAGAGATATGAAATCATACATAAGAGTTTATGTGTAGATATCCCTTAGCAAAATGGGGTCGCCGAGAGAAAGAATAGACATCTCTTAGTTAGAAGTGAGCAGATCTCTCATGTTGGCTACAAATGTACCCAACCAATTTTGGGGAGAAACTATCCTCTCTACAACCTAACTCATAAACAGAATGTCTTCCCGAATCCTCAACTTTAACACACCTCACTCTACTCTCCAAACCTCATACCCTACTAGTCATATCCTAGCATTCATTCCCGTGGAAATATTTGGATGTTCAGCTTTTATCCATAACCTCCATCCTCATCGCAGCAAACTTGACCTAAAATCCATAAAATATATTTTTCCTCGGTTATTCTCCCTAACAAAAAAGATATAAATGTTATTCACCTCAAACCAGGAAATTTTATCACAGATGTCACCTTTCTTGAGAATCAACCTTATTATCCTAAAGTTGACATTAAGAGGGAGCATATTTATCTAATAAGCTAGTTCACTTTGTCCCAAATGCAGAACCAGCCAAGATTGCGCCTGCAGTAGAGAAAACTATAGTAGCAAATGCAGAGCCAACCGAGACTACACCTAAAATAAAGGAAGTAAAGTCTAACACAGCTCCAAGGCAAAGTCATAAATCAAATCAAGTTCCAAAAAATGAGTTTTCCCTAGGTAATATTGCACTCAACACCCTATTGAGAATTATGTATCCTATGAAAAATTGTCATAGGAGTATATGTCGTTTGTGACAGCTCTTGACAACATACATATCTCAAGAAATATTCAAGAGATACTCAAACAACCTGAATGGGCAACAATTGCAACAGAAGAAGTCTAGGCCTTGGCTGAAAACGGTACATGGGAAATCACCACCTTACCAAAAGGGAAGAAATCGATTGGATGCAAGTGGATATTCTCCATCAAATACAATGCAGATGGTAGTATAAACCGGTACAAAGCCCAACTGGTGGCATAAGGGTTTACCCAATCATATGGAGTGGAATACAAAGAGACGTTTGCACCGATGACCAAACTCAATTCAATCCGAGTTATACTCTCTTTAGCTGTAAATTTAGATTGGTCACTTTATCAACTAGACATAAAAAATGTCTTCCTAAATGGTGAACTAGAAGAAGAAGTCTATATGCAAATTTCTTCAGGATTTGAATCATCAAAAACCTCAACCATGATGTGTAAGCTCCGAAAATCTTTATATAGCCTTAAGCAATCTCCAAGAGCATGGTTTGATAGATTGACTCGGGTTGTCAAAGAAGATGGATTCAAGCAATGTCAATCAGATGTTTGTCAAACACTCCGCAAAAAGGAAGGTAGCCCTGTTCATTGTTTATGTTGATGATATCGTTATCACAGGAGACGATTATGATCAAATCAAGCATTTGAAGGGACTTTTAGCCAAGGAATTTGAAGTTAAGGACTTGGGCCAACTCAAATACTTTCTAGGGATGAAATTTGCTCGGACGAAGGATAGTATTTATGTATCACAAAGGAAATATACACTGACTTACTTCAAGAAAATGACATGCGTGGGTGCAAGACAACCAATACTCCCATAGAACAGGAAAAGAGAGGTGAAGACGAAAGTCCACCAACTGATAAAGATAGATATAAAAAACTAGTTGGGAAGCTAATTTACATCACTCACACCAGGATTGGGTTTGCTATCAGCCTGACTAGTCGCTATACATCTAATTCAACTGAGGCCAATATGAATATGACAGACAGAAAAATACCTCAAAGGTATAGGAGACCAAGGGCTCTACTTCAAGAAGAACTCAAACATAGGTATTGAAGTCTATACTGACTCAGATTGGGCAGGATATCCCTTTGATAGGAAATCAACTACAACCTACTATTCCTTTGTGTGGGGAAACTTGGTGACTTGGAGAAGCAAGAAGCAACATGTGGTGGCAAGGAGTAGTGCAGAAGCTTAATTCAGAGCTATGACTCAAGGTATCTGTGAAGGAATCTGGCTTTAGAGGATGTTAGATGAAATCAAAATTTCTATCAATACACTATGAGGATAATGTGTGACAACGAAACTGCTATAAGCATAGCAAAGAACTCAGTCCACCATGATATGACAAAACATGTGGAAATTGACCGACACTTCATTAAAGAAAAAATTGATCATGGTATTATAAAATGTTGACCATGTTCCATCATGTAGACAAACAGTAGATATCCTGATAAAAGTTCTTCCAAGGAACACATGAAAACATTAGATATGATAGATATCTACCATCCAGATTGAGGGGGAGTGTTGGAGATTAGTACTATCAATTAGAATAATTCAATTATGATAATATTTAATGAAAATATAATCAGTTTTATTTCGATTATTTATGCACAATTATGTACAACATTTATAAGGAGAATATTTTTCTGATTTTTAGGGATAGATTAATGTATAGGTTTATTAATGTGTATTCTATTTATACTTCCTTTATATATTTTCTAAAATAAGAAATACACAATGTATTTTCCGCAAATAATCTCTAAACTTTGAAACAATGCATTAAAATGAAATTGAACAAATTAAAATATATATTACATATAATTCACCTTAGAAATAAAAAATGAGTAGTTAATTATTGGGAATTGAATCAAATTCAAGAAACTTCACATATATTTTACAATTTTGATGTAAAGAATAAGAATAATCAAATAACAATTAAAAAAAAAAGAAAAGATGGAAGAGATAAAAATGGAAGAACATGTCACTTACTCATTTAAAACCAATGGATAAAAGCTTTCTAACATTTCGAAAATGAAACTAAATCTCTAGATACTACATAATATGGCCCAATTTCTTCTCCTTAAGTGTGTGGTATGTGAAACCCCATGGGTGGAGAATAAAAGTCACTAAGTGAAGTCTTATGACCCAATTTCTTCTCCTTAAAATGAAGTCTTAAGACGAGATAAATGACTTAAACACTACAAATAATAAGATGAATGATTAGATTTTTTTTAATTTTTCTTAAAATTTTTTGGAAATAAAAATGTAGAAAATGTATTTTTTTTTCATTAAAATAAAATTTTAAGAAATTTTAAGAAATAGGAGATATGTTTTAGACACAAGGCTAGTAGTAAAAAAAAAAAAAAAACTTTTGATTGGTTAGTGTTACATTCACCAAACACAAAGTTTAACCCTTTCATTTCTACTTCTACACCTAAAACTCTCAAGTATTGAGTTTTTTTTTTTTTTTAAGATATTTTTCTATTTTCATGTAATCTTATCTTGATTCATTCATGATATATATAGTGATTTCTTTTTCTTTCTTTGTGAAAATGCTGTTTTCTATCATTTTAAGTTATTCTTATTTTTAACCCCTAAACTATGACATTTGATGAATGAGTTTTCTTCAATTTCGACGTATTAAACTTCTTTATTTTCTAATTGAATATAGTAAAATTAAACTCAAGATTCATCAACTATATCTCCCGGTTTAAGAGACAAGACAAGAACAAACACAAGTCAAGTACTGATAAAAGATCAAAAGATAAAAAAAATAAAAATATGAAAGAAATAAAAATAATAAAATATGTTACTTTCACAAGGAAAAAATTAATATAAAGGTTAATAATATATAAGAATTAAAATAAGATTATATAAAAATAAAAATATTGTTAAGTAATTAGTTATTATAAAAAGTATTATTATATTTATTTAATAATAAATTTATTAGAATATCTAATTATCATCCATGTTGATAGTATTTTAATTTTAGAAACAACCATTCTTATATATTTGGATATATATAAAACATTTAATATGTAAATATGAGTAGATTCATTCTTATATATTTGGATATATATAAAATATTTAATATGTAGTATGAGTAGATTCAATATATATTATCAGTATAAAAAGAAAAAAATAATTAAAAAATAATAATTAATTATGAGAGTCCAATTGGGACGAAGACTAAGATTAATTTTGTATGATGCATTTTTCTTTTTTAATCTAATAAAATGCAAGTAAAAAGAATTACAGCTTTTGAATTATGGCTGCAGGGTGAAACGGTGAATTGCGGCAAAATTGACTTGCAAGTAATCCAGGTTTACCGTTGGTAAAACAGAAAGTGAGAAATTGAAGGCTGCGGACAAAGAAAGACTCGACAAAGGAGAAAAATCAAAACCCAACTATAGCCAGCACGGAGACGGATCCTCTAAATTTTATAATCAATTTTCACCATATATTTTATTTTCTTAATAATATTAAGTTCGAGTATAATCAACAGTTCAGATTCACGCAGGGCAAAACTGAACTGCAAAAGATCCTAATAGGAAGAAAAAAGTTGTTTTTCTTTCTCATTTTTAACTGTGACTACTACGAGCTTTTTCACTTTGCTTCTTCTCCTTCTCTCTCTTTCTGTTACGAGAGGAGCTTCGAGATCAGCGACGAACGAAAAATGGCGAAATCGAGCGCCGACGACGGCGAGCTCCGGCGAGCTTGCGAAGCTGCAATCGAGGATCCGAAGCAGAAGATCGTGATGTCTCTGCGCGTCGCCAAGAGTCACGGCATCTTAGGAAAATCGTCCAAGCTCGGTCGCCAAATGGCCAAGCCTAGGGTTCTCGCTCTCTCCAGTTACCTTCCTCTTCCTAATTCCCTTTTTACATTTCTCAATTCTACTGTTTTCTATGCGCTACTTCGATTTTGCTTGCACGAGATTCCACCGATGTTTTAGCTTTCAAGAAATTAAATTAACTACTCTGATGTGAACATTGATTTTTTTTTTATTATAACTACACTTTGAAGCTTCCACACACATTTCGCGTTAGGTTTACTATGGTTTATGCAGTAATGCCTGATTCACTTCGTGTGCCTTTTGTTATGTAGCTTGTTGGATCTCAAGACTGGAGTGTTTATGTGTGATTTCTTCGGCGTGTGTGGTGTTTTAATTGTTTTGTTGAACTCTACATTTGTGTAGTTGTTGGTGATGACGTGGTATTTGCTGCAGCGAAATCGAAGGGTCAGAGGACATCGGCTTTTCTTCGCGTGTTGAAGTATTCAACGGGAGGTGTTCTTGAAGTAATTTGTTTTTCTCTATCTTATTTTCTTTGGGATATGTTTGGATTGTAGCTCATGATCCAATAATTCCTGACCACCATGGTCAAGTCAATTTCAACATAACACATAATCGAGGTCTATTAACTCTTTCTCGGTACCTGAGAGGCTTGGCTATGTGTCACATTTGAGATTGACCGAGACCAAGGTTGTCTGATGATCCCGGACAATATAATAATTTCTTTTATCGAGAAATGAAATGATCCCCCACTGCCCTTCAAACCAAATTCAGCATTTTCAATTTGTAAAACTGTTGTGCTTGCAGCCTGCAAAGCTATACAAGCTAAAGCACCTGTCAAAAGTGGAGGTTGTAGCAAATGATCCCAGCGGATGTACATTTACTCTGGTAAAATTCCATTATGGAAGTGATCTTTATGTTCTAGTTCTAGACATATTGTTCAGTTTTTGGCACAGAAGCAATATGAGAACATCCTACCATTCCCTGTTTTGGAGTTTATTTTTTGATGTCTTCCAAATTACGTGCTTGTTAGGTTGATGCTTGTGTATCTTGCAGGGATTTGATAACCTTAGAAGCCAGAGTGTTGCTCCTCCTCAATGGACCATGCGCAATATTGATGACAGGTTATATTTGAGAGAAATGTTAATATATGCATGGACAGTAAGTTTGTGGTTGAGTTCTATGTGAGGGGATGAAACTTTTCTCATCATGTTCACCACTTATCTTGTAGGAATCGTCTCCTTCTTTGCATCTTGAACATATGCAAAGATGTTTTGGGTCGCCTTCCAAAGGTTGTGGGTGTAGATGTTGTGGAGATGGCTCTTTGGGCTAAGGTGCATATAACCTTTTAATTTTAATGCTTCTTTACAATCAAGTACCCCTCATTCTATTTCACCAAACCAAATACCTTTTATTTATTGCTTAATAAATAATTAATTTGTATTTGCTATTCTGTATGGAACGTGATATATCTCATCTGTGGGTATCAAGTCTATGACTTCAAGCTAGGAATTTTAAGCCCTATTTGGAAGTTGAGTTGAGGGAGGCAGTTAAACCCCCTTCATGTTGAAGTAAAAAGGAAGGAATTCTGCTTATTTAATTTGAAATAAATAATATCCCGTGTTTGTTTGCCAATTCGAGGGGGATGGGTCCACTAAGGGGAGTACATCCCACTCCTCCCTCTCCTTTAAAAACTCCCAGACAAGGATTAAAGTCAATTTTTCCTTTTCCTTTTCTATCCTTCTTCCCTCCTAACTTCCCATCCAAACATAGTGTTGGACTGTCTGTGCGAACTTCATATTATGGTATTCAGTTAATTATCGAATATATTTTTTGTGTTCTAATTATTTACTTTCACAAACTGTGGAATAGGAAAATACACCCCCTGTTTCTGCTCAGAATAAAGTGCGAGATGGTGGTCCTGTTGCATCTGCTGTGAGGGAGACAGAATTGAAAGTTAATGTTGAAAAGGAACTTGTCTCGCAGGCAGAGGAAGAGGACATGGAAGCACTTTTGGGAACGTAGGTGCTATTCTTCTTTGTCTTAAAGGGTATTGAGGCTAGATATTCATGATAAATTTAGAAATTTCTTTATATAATGGCCTCTGTTTTGGTAAATTGTGGACCCGAGTTCTTTAAATCCTAGGGTTACACTGAACCACTGTGTCTTCCCTTACAAAGTCGCTGGCCACATTTTATGATTCATATAATACAGGGAATTCATAAATTATTAGAAATTGCTGTACATAATGATTGTTACATTTTTGTCAAAGTTCAAATGATGCTGATATGCCAGTTTGATTCATATAATTCAGTTTGACTAAATCATATGTTTGATTTTATATCATAGTGCCATTTTAATCCAATAAATGGTTGACTTTTTATTTTTTAATTATGCAGTTATGTCATGAGTATTGGTGAAGCGGAAGAGTTTTCTGAAAGGTTGAAGAGGGAGCTACAGGCACTGGAAGCAGCAAATGTGCATTCTCTTTTAGAAAGTGAACCTTTGATGGATGAGGTATTACTGTTCTGAGCGTATGACCTATTGTTGGAAGTTTTGGTTATTCCTTGTCATTGCAGCCTCTTTGGGTTGCCTTAATCGCAACCTTGAGAAGGTTTTAGTCCTACATCAACTAGATATATCATATAAATAGAGTTTATAAAGCTTGGCCAATCCTTCCCTTACAAACAATTTTGTAGGGTTGAAATAGGCATAGTGCCCTGTTGGCCACTTGCATAACCATGCTTTATGTGCCCATGACCCTAGGCTTGCAGGTGTGTGTTGGAAAGCCACATTAATTGCAGTTACCTTTGGCCCACATTAATTGCAGGCTCTTTGTGTTGCCTTAATTGCAACATTGAGGGGGGTGTTTAGTCTCAAATCAACTACAGTTATGCCATAAATAGAGTTTATAAAGCTTGGCCAATTCTCCCTTTACAAGTTGGTTTTATGTAGTTGAGTTAGGCTAATTAGTTCCCAATCTCGGATTAGGAAGAACAAATTGTTTCTGACAAATCCCTCCAAACAAAACAAGAACGATTCTATTTGAATCTTCAGAGTCTTGAACTTCGACTCAATACAATGTGCCACTTGAGATGTTACACGCTGAAGATAAGCACGGGAAAGGAAGATTGTCACTGAAGATATATTGCACACTCAAGATAAGAAATCTCCGTGAAAGCAACTTTGGCAAGACCTTGGGATATGACACACCCAAGATGAACAAGAGGAAAGGTGGATTGCCACGTAGGATATTATGCCCCTAAGATAAGAACACTCTAAGAAAGTAGAGGAATCACACTATTGTCAAAATTTTCCAACTCATTCATTTCAAAGTTGTGAATCAAAAAGTTGTGCACAATGGGTGGTAGTTGGCTCCTTTTATAAGCTCAAGGAAGCAAAGGCCTGCATACTCAAGCCCAAGAGGGTTTTGCACACCTAGCTAACCTATCCTAGGGCTAGCTAGTTAATTTCCTAAAATAAACAAAGGTTTATTCACACGAGACTATATTTTTCATTATTTCTAAATTCTTTGAGAACGTCTTTATCTTCAGTTCCAGAATCACATCATAGGTTGTGAGCAAAACACTAAGTTATTTCTTTGGTGGGTATTGTGACCTTGTTTGCTATATTTGTTCTTCTAATCAGGCCATTTGGTTCATTTGTTTGGCGGCTTAACATTCTCCCTTTGTTTTAAATGATAGACTGAACTAGGATTTTGTGTTGTCAAAGTTATGATTTAATTATTTAAACATCCTGGACTTGGCTTTTTATGAAATCAATTAATTTCTTTAATTTATGTTTTCTTGAAATTATAAATTTTGTGCTGTTACATCAAATTGTAACAATATCTTACTATCTCATTTTTGTCATTTCATCCATTATGGTAATAGAGTTGCTATGCAAATCCATTTCACAAATCTCCATATGCATTAGTTATCTGTAATACATTAATTTGTTTTTATACAGTTGTTCATACTACTTGTGTGCCTTGTGCACAGGTGTCACAAGGGCTTGAAGCAGCAACCAGTGTTGTGGAAGATATGGATGAATGGTTAAGCATATTCAATGTAAAACTACGACACATGAGGGAGGACATTGCATCAGTAAGGGCCTGTACCCATCAATTTAAGAATATAAATTTCCTAGATACAATTTACTTTGTGGTTGTAATGACTGTGTTTACTGGAAACATGATTTCATTTGTTTAGTTCTCCTTGTTTCTTTGATAAGGCAAGGGAATTTATGAATTAGTCCAATCCTAGTAAGACAGAGAAAGACCTCTTCTCATTAATTTCGTGCATTTATTATTTTTGGCAATAAAACTGTTAATTAATTAAGGGTATTTCAGGGAAAAACTTAATGCAAGAGAATTCAAAAAGGGTCTTATAAAAAGGGGACAAGCAATTTTCTGAAAAGGGTCTTGTACATAAGGATGGAGGTTGTTAAAGGTAAACCAAGATATGAAAATAAAAACATATATATCCTGATATTTATTTAGCATGGAAATGGTTATGCAGATATTTTCACACTACCCAACTTCCAGTTTAATCAGGAACGGAATAATTAGAAGCTTCAGTGAGTCTAGTGTGTGCCTGCTTAAGCTGGAGAAGTTTTTATAATTTATTTTTTGTGTTAGCTTTGAAGGATTTAGAGCTTTATGCTTTGTTTGGATTAAGTGAAACAGAGTGGAAAGAAATAGAAGAAAAAATGCAGTGGAAAAGATGTGTCATTTGGATGGATTACAATAGGAAGGAAAGAAGTAGGGAAAATTTCTTTCTGCTTGTTTGGACGAGTGGAAATAAATAACTGAGTATTATAAAAAACTTTTATATTAATTAAGCAAATAATAATTAACTTATAAATATGAACATTTTATTATATTAGTTTTTCCCAATATAATGACACACTACTTCCCTCCCATTTTTAAGATATTTAAAACTAAAAATGAGAAATAGACACTACTTTTTCCCTTCCATTTCATGCCATACGAGGGAAATTATTTTGGTAGAGAGTTCCCAAATTTAATTCTCCTCCCCCTTAATTTCCACCCATCCAAACCGTGGAGCATTATTTCATCCTCTCCATTTCCTTCTCTTTTATTTCCTTGCTTTCTAAATACACCCATCCAAACGAAGGGTTATTTTGCTACTAAACTTCCAATTTTCTCCCCTTCCTCTCCTCTTTCTCCTGTGAATCTGTCAAGGGGGATAGTGCATACATACTCATTGTCTTCTCTTTCCTAGGTTTTCTTATTTTCTAAAAATAAGCATATTGAAACAGGCTTCTTTTCCCTTCTAAAAGTTTGGTTCATGACATGGTATCAAAGTCTCATAAGACCAAATGATTAGAATTTGATCCTTGTCACCCCATTCATGTAATAAGAACTTTCTCTTCATCTAATGGCTTAAGATTTTGGGACAGTCTGTTAATGTGCCAAGTATCTCCCTTGTGTGTAAAATGATATTAATCTAAATTTAGATTTTACATATCAAAAGTTGGATTGTGGTCACAATCCTTTCTACAAAGTGACCATTTTTGTGGTGCTGTAGAAGTTGCTCTGTGCAATTTCAGTATTGTTTGCTTTTCCATCTAAGTGATATAATTGAGATGTAGTAGCTATTGCTGAGCATTGGTCTCTTACATTATTTGTCCTAATAAGTTTTCTTATGTCCAGATAGAAACCCGCAATAACAATCTGGAAATGCAATCAGTTAATAACAAATCTCTCATTGAAGAGCTTGATAAGCTTCTTGGGCGGTTGCGTGTCCCTTCTGAGGTATGCCCTGTATCCCAATTTAAGCTAAATGAACTTCCTAGCTTGTATTTATTTTAATGATGTTTTTTTGGGTGCAGTATGCTACAAGTTTGACAGGAGGTTCATTTGATGAAGCTCGAATGCTTCAAAATGTTGAAGCATGTGAATGGTTGACTAGTGCCTTGCGTGGTCTTGAAGCTCCTAATCTAGACCCTAGTTATACAAACATGAGAGCTGTATGTTCCTTTCTTACTTCTCTTTTAAAAATTATTTGGTAAAATAAGTCGATCATGAATAGCCATTTAGGGAAAAAAAAAACTATCCGTGAGACAGAGTGCTTGTTTTATTTGTTGGAAAAGTATGGAAATTATTTCAAGTTGACTGATATGATTTTTCATTCATTATTTTTATCATTTTGTTTGGTTGGGAAATTGTAAGAGTGCTACAAATTTGGCATCAGAAGGCACAGTGAAAATAGTCTGGCTAATATGGCGAATATGTTGGACCTAAAAATCATCTGTTTTGGTTCCTCCCTACACATTACAGGTTAAAGAAAAGCGTGCAGAACTTGAAAAATTAAAATCTACTTTTGTCAGGAGAGCATCTGAATTCTTGAGAAATTATTTTGCTAGTTTGGTGGACTTCATGATAAGCGATAAAAGCTACTTTTCTCAGGTATTTTGTCTAAATTTGTTTTAGAATTGTTACGTTTGAAGTCTTTGAATGAATTTATTGGTATCATTTTTACTGCTTGCTCTAAACAGCGAGGACAGTTGAAGAGGCCTGATCATGCCGACCTGCGGTACAAGTGCAGGACATACGCCCGTCTTCTGCAACATTTGAAGGTTAAAATTTTTGGACTGAGAACCTATTTACTTTGACAAAATGCTTTCTGTTTTCAATTTGTTCTCTATTTTCAAAGCTTAAAAGAAAGTTGATTTCCGTGTTTCTTATGAAAATATTTGAAATTAGAAAGTAAATAAAAATATCCTGACCTGTTATTGTACAAAAAATAAAAGAAAAAAATGAAATTAGAAAACATTTTTTCAAATGAAACAGTCCTTTATTATTCCTGCATGAATTTTGTTTTGGATACATATATTTGTTCAGTGTTTTCTACCTAAATTATCTTCCTGAACCCTTGCAGAGTCTTGACAAGAATTGCTTGGGTCCACTTAGAAAAGCTTATTGCAGTTCTCTAAACTTGCTTCTTCGCAGGGAGGTCTGTTGCACATCATGTTGATTTTTTTTTTTTTTTTTCTTATTGTGATGCATTCCTTTAGTTTTGTAATGAAGCAAGGAGAACTATTATTAATGTGTACAAAATATTAGTTAATATGATTACTTAGCTAATCAATATATAAAAAGTAAATAAAAAAATAATCATGGCAGGGAGGATTGTAAAGTTCCTAGAGAGATTAATTTCCCAATTTTTAAATCTTTCCTCTGTGACTATCTTCTGAGTGTGAGAACATTAAAGTGTAATTCATTTCAAATTAAGTTGCCAAATTTGGGCCATTTGGCATGTTTCATTTTGTAGATCATTTATTTTTAAGATTTGTAACCAGAAATAAGTTTAAGTGGGCCACTTCAGGATTTGATTGAAATGGGAAATAAATTATTAGTTTTGTAGCTGTTTCAGGTAAAGTGCTTAGCTTTTTGACCCTCAGATTCTGCACTCAAGCCTGCTTCAACCCAGGTCTTATTATGTTTAACCTCAGGATTTGTTCTGACCTTGTTAGTATTAAAAGGAGGTAGGTTACCTGGACTGATGTTCTATGGTTGACATAACTAAGAGTGATCAAAAGGAACTTGCTTCACTATTAATTTTGTTCCTTCTGGAAAATAATCTTCCAGTGCATTAAAAGAATATTTTAGAGGACATTAGATTATGTCTCACGATCAGTTTCCTGATTTCCTTGGCTTTAATATTCTTTGTTATCTGTGGAATTTGTAGAGAGTTGAAAAATAAATCATGATTTATTTCCTTATTAATTAGGGTATAATCTGGTTGTATTAATATAAACAAAGGTGGGTGCTATATGTTTTTTTATAATGTTGTAAGACTTACATATCATATCAAGTCAATATCAATCTCAATATACTCTTTCACCCTTACCTCCTTTTTCTTGCTATATACCTAAAACCTATTATCTCAACAACTATCTTTTAGAAAAGGTGTCAACAGCAACAATTTTTTTGCATTTATCTATTAGGGGTATAAAGAGAAGAAGATGTTAGTTAAAATAGTTGGAGTATTAATGAGGTAGTTAGTTATTTAAGGTGTTTGTTAGATATAAATAAGGTAAAAAGGATAGGAGGAGGGGTTGTTCATTTGGTTAATTGAGTATTAGTTCTTTGTGAAAGGAGAAATCCTTTGTGAGAATCCCTTGGAGAAGAGAGTGTTCTCCTATTTCTTGTTCTTTTCATTATATTCAATAAAAAACTTTCTTTTCTTTCTCTTTCAATTCTTGATTCCTAACATTATTGTAGTGTTCAAATAGTCCACCTTGTCGTGTGACCGACCTTACGGGTCGTTCATGTGACGAGTTTCCTTAATTTTAGGGATACAATCCCAAAAATCTCGCCTAAAATGACACTTGTTACCAAGAATGAATATTAATTGAACATACGGAATCACTAATGAAAGCCTAGGTCCAAGGAAAATGGTCAATATAAAGAAGTATTAGGGTTATAGGAGTAGGTAAGTTACAAGGTAGTACTGTGGATCAAAGGAGAACCTTAGAGCATAAACAACTATGATTGCTTAACTAGTTGAAGAGGGGTTGTACTTTTTAACCTGGGTTAATTTTATTAACACTTGAATAGCTGATCCTCCACCATTAGTGCTGCTTGATGAATTGTCTGGTCTTCCTTAACTGGAGATCGTTGAGTTGTGATTGCAATTTAGTGTTTGACCTGAAGATGCGTTATAATTAATATATGAATTCTGGGTATTATATTCATTTTTTGCTAAAGTGTGTTTTTGGTGTCATTTTTTTTTTCAAAATTAGTTTTTGTCTCTGTACTTTAAAAATGTTTATTTTGGTCCTCATTTTTTAAAATTGGTGAATTTTGTACCGCATGGAGCTTACTATTCTAGAATAATGACCTGCGAGTGTCAGCATCTAACTTTAAGAAAATAAAATGTAAACTTAATAATATTTTATATAATATTCTAATTTTAAAAAGAAAGAAAAATTAACGACTTATCCTCTTTCTTTATCATCCACCAATTATAAATTTTACAAGAATGAAAATCACTAAAACCAATTCTGTCTGAAAATTGAGAGGCCTAAAACAAATTTAACCTCAACTGTAATTTATTTCATAGTATGCTAAGATATGGAGTCTAAGGTTTCACTTTTACAGGCCCGTGAGTTTGCAAATGAACTTCGTGCTAGTACTAAAGCATCTAGAAATCCAACTGTTTGGCTTGAAGGTTCCACAGGCTCTGGTCAAAATGTAAACGCCACTGACACTTCTACAGTCTCTGATGCTTATGCAAAGATGCTTACCATTTTTATCCCACTTCTGGTGGATGAGGTGATCTTTTGATATTCTTTCACTTGTACTGATTTGTCTTTAATATTTCAAATGTTTAATTCTTCATGGCATACATTGCAGAGTTCTTTCTTTGCACACTTCATGTGCTTTGAAGTCCCTACACTTGTTCCTCCTGGAGGTGTTGTTAATGGAAATAAAACTGCATATGATGATGATGATGATGATGATGATTTGGGAATTATGGACATTGATGAGAATGACAGCAAATCTGGTACTCCTACCTGACTTATTGCACATAGCCTTTTGGGTCAAATTTATATTTTCAATCTTTTACTTGAGTATAGACCTGCCCAATGCACAGGTTTATATTATATATCTTTTACATTTCTAGTTATTTTTTCTAAATTTGTTTGTCAATAAATCTTTTAAAATATTTATTTGTATATAAACATTAAAATTGTGGATGTTGTTTTAAAAAGATTATTGATTTTTGTCAAAAGAGAAGAGTGATATTTAAAACTTACTGAGTTATATTTTTTTTTTGCAATGATGATAATAATAATGATGATGCAATACATGTAAGAAATTTATGAATAAAAATGATAAAATTTTAGTTAGTTATTTATGTATGTAATCTAAAATTGAGCGCCATTGTTATTGTAGATATTACATAACATGTATTTTTTATGTTTTTATAAAATTATTTTTATCTATATTTATTCCAAAAATAATAATAAACATGAAAAATACATGTAAATATAATAAATTAAATAGATATACAAATTAAAAGGTGAAAAATTGATATTGATAAGCATATCATGTACACACAAAAATAACAGGAATTCATTTAATTAGCGTTGAATATTATTATGAATCACATTATTTTAAGAGATAAAATTAAAAACATATGATAGTAGATTATTTTTATTCTTATAATACAAATATAGTTTTTATCCAGAAAGACAACATAAAGTTCATTATTTTTTATACTTAATACAAACAGTAATTAATCATACAAAGAAAAAAAAATTATTTTTATATTTACAAAAATAGTACAAAGTAACATGAAAACTACATTAATTTTTTTCAAGAAGTAGTTTTACCATTTTTTTTATTATTTTAAAATATGTTTTATGAACAATTAAAGACATATTTCATTAGTTCTGGATTTTAATATTAATTAGTTGATTAATAATTATTTGTTTTATAAATATGATTACTTTTTTGTAAATAGGTACTATGATTCTCATGAATTTTAAAATAACTATTATGATGTCCTTTATAAATTACACCAAATTGAATTTCAGATTCAAAAATCATTTTAAAAATATGTATTTTATCAATTCTTTCGAAAGTTAGAATTGGTTAGCTTTTTTGCTTCTAAACTTAATGATTCACTTTTTGCATACTAGTTACGAATTTTATAGTTTTGTTTCCCTTTCTATCCTTTTTTCAGGAAATTTCACCATTTCTTCCATTTTGTAGGTAAAACTTCTGCGGAGCTTGCAGCTTTAAATAAATCACTTAAGGATTTACTTGATGGAATACAAGTATGCATAGCATTTCTCTTTATATACTTTTGTGCTTCTGATATTTGTGAGATGAAAGGATCTTCTCTGCATAGTGGCGACAGACACATTAAGATTTACGTTGATTTGGTTTTTGTGACAGCAAAGAAATTTAATAAGAAGTGAAGAGTACAAAATTTCAGGACAAGCACAATTGTTCAAAAAAATTTGAACTGAACCAAATTCGTAACTGAATTGCATAAAAAAACTAGTTCTTTTAATTTAGTTTGTAAAAATTGAATGGTTCCAAAATAGAACTGCTTGAACAAAATTGAACTATAACTTATGAGATTGGAAAATATGCTTTATAATAAGATATCCATGGGTAAGACAATTTAGATGTTCAAGCAGTTCAATAGCTATTATCATCTAAAGAATTATACAGTTCTGTCAAACCTCTTTTATAATTTAGTTAAGTTTTATAATAGTTCAGTTCATACATTTTGTCCACCCATAAGGTAAGGCGTCTTAACTTGAATCCTATAGAAGAAAACATTTAAAAACTAGTAGATTTTGTCATCTATTGCATATAAAATCCATGTGAAGAACATTCATGATTGTCGAACTTGCTAACTCAAACGAGCTTGCCTGTCCAGTGAGTGACCATGAGCTAACTCATGAGTAGACCCATGTTTTAGTAGACTTGTGTGGACCTAGAGCAAACTTGGTCTAACTCGAGTCAACACGAGAGTTTACCATTGGTTCACGAGTTTGATGAAGGCAGAGATGGCTTACTTGAAAAGTGTTGTTGTATCGTGTCTTGACATTGAATAGGGTTTCTTCTTCCCCCATTTCATTACTCCCTCCACCATTTTTGTCCTATGTGAACTCATTTTGTTGTACTCATCCTCATTGAACGGGTCATCGAACACATCACCATGCGACATGTTTTGCTTTTGTTGTCTCCTCCCCATGATGTGATTTAACATCTCTAAATCTTCATTAGTGCATGTGCTGCTTGGTTCTCTTCTTTCTTCTCATTCATTCTGTTTTTCTATTTGTTTTCGTGCAACAGTTTGATTCTCTTCTTCACATTCATTCTCTGATTCTAATTTCTTAATTTTTTTATGTTTTAAATTTTAATTTTTTTTTAATGCTGTTTTAGTTGTTTCTCTTTCATGGAATTAGGATATTTTGTTCTCTGTTTCTATTTTCTTTTTGATGAATTAGTTGTTGAAATTATAAAATGTCAGTAAGTGGGACTGGTTTGATATATTTTTTTTTACGTCAAACTGCATCGTTAGTTCATAGAAATAAAAATGCTACAGAAAATAGGATAAATGTCGGGTAGAAATATGGAGTAGATATTTTGGGTAATGAAAAAAAGGGCAGTTATTCCTCAGATGTTTAATTGAGGAATTTTCATATTGGGACGAGACATATAAACTTGAAGACATTTGTTTTGTAGTTATTTAATTGTTTTCACTTTTGAGAACTTATATTTTGTTGGTATATTCTATGAATTTATTTATTCTGATGTAGCTTTAAGTTATATGGTAGTCATCTTACACAACTAAACTTATTGTTCACTATTTTGCTTAATTATAATTTTCAAATGTTGTATATACATTATTTTTTATATGAAATAGTCTCTTACAAGTTTACTGGTTGTGTTGGCGGAGCTCTGATGAGTCTATTATAGATTTTCAGTCTGATAACCTTGAGAACACCACAGTCAAACTTAAAAATAACTTTGTTTCAAGTGTTGGCTAGAGAAGAGGTTTCTTTGAAAAATTAAGCAAAGACAGTACTGTCCCAAAATCTTAGTTCCATTATCGATGAAGCCTGAATCTCTAGATATTATAAGAAACAAATGCATATGTTTGAGGCAAACTCAATCTCTCTGGAAAACCCAAAAATCGTTTTCCATAACTGCGGAGCTCACCGATACTTCAATTTGCTTCACGAATCCGTATCCGATACGAATCGATACTTCATTGATACTTCAGTTATATGTATTAATGAAGGATCCAAACTTATACTTCATTGATACTTTAGTGATACGTATTAATGAAGTATCCAAACTTATGAAGCATCAATATTTTTATTTGTTTTACAAATAATACTTTTAGATAGTTTATCGATGTGTATGTCAGTTAAATGTCAAAACTTTTAAATCATTTATATTCAATAAAAGTTTAAGAAACATATGTATCTATAAAATAGAAACATATAAATATTAATTTTCATAAATTATAGAAACAAAATATTCTTATGAAGTATTTTAAGAAATTAATGAGTATCGTCTTATTCCTACCTGTAAATAACAAAAAATATTTTATAACGATAATTATTTATATTTTTTTCTACAATATCTAAGAAATGTGATTTAAAATTTAGATTTGCATGATTATAGCTTTATAGTTATTATGTTTCATATGTTTCATGAATTGTTTTATATTTTTAAATACGTATCTTATCCTATTTTTTTTTAATTAATGTGTCGTCGTAGAATTGTATTTGATACTCGTATCGAATCTAGGCATTATAGCTGCAGAGCTGCAGAAAAAATTGAGTCTCTTATCTGAGCTATGACCTCAAATTACCTGAGACAATGCAGTGGGAGGTATTTTCTTCCTAGCGTGTCATTAATGTGGATTCCTGTTAAGGGCAGCATTGTAGACAAAAAGATTTGATCTTCGTGGGATGGGAGATGAGTTTCCATATAGGTTTGTCCAAGGAAAAACTGTTGCAAGACTCTGTCTTGAACTGAAAATAATTACTAGAGGAAAACACCCAGAAACAATTTGATTTTAGAGTCGACTTAGACCTAGTCCATTTTTAATACTACCCATGTTTCATTTGAAAATTCAAATTGGATCTGAAAATTATCACCCAAAGTGAGGGATAGGAAAAGTTTAAAGGAGAACAAATCCTTTAATAAACTTTGAAGGACTAACATAAGTAGCTTGCTTCAGAGATTTGCTGTCCTGTGTCCCGCTTATTAAAGTGTGCATCATACCTGCAACAACCTCAACTAACTTTTATGCCATAAAGAAGAAAAGAAATGAAACTGAACTTTCTAATGCACTTTTAGTTGCCAAGGCCACATTATTGGACTCTAAATTACAATGACACTCCATCCTCTGTGGTTTTAAACAGACCTCCCAACTCGTAAATGGTCTCTAATAGATTTTTCCCACTTGACCAAAGGAATCATGCAAAACATGGGAGAAAGTTTAAAGGGATTCTAGATAACAAGTCTGTGTAATAGTAACCTGACCTCCCAAAGGAAAGTGCAAACCTACAATCTTAAGGCTTCAAAATTTTTCATATCACTGGACCCCAAAAGGGTAAGGCACAGGGATTATCACTCGGGTTGATGCCTAGATATATGCAAGGCTATTGAAGTGATTGACATCTAGCTGAAGCAGTGAAAGTGGTTAAAATCTGACTGTTTACTTTAGACTTTGCTGGACTGCTATTAGCATAATTAATCTCAAGCCCACAAATGACCTCAAAGAATCTTATAATAGTTGGAACAATGACAAAGAAATGCTATACTTTGGTTCCAGTAACAGTGTTATCAACAAAATGTGATAACATATTATCTCTAGAAAATGGGGAGTTTGAATAAAGCTAAAACTTTTTGTAATGAACTATAAGATGAACCAAAGGTATCTTTTGATAATAAGGTTGATAAGATGCCTGAAAGGTGTCGTCAGATAGCAAGTTTGACTAGACGATCTAAAGGAGTTGTCTAATATTGATAAAGGTTTTTTGGAAATATTTCACAAACAATAGAACACTCTTTCAAAACAATATTAAAAATGTTACTTGAGTAAACTGATTAGCAAGAGAGCAAATAAAAAACACTTGATTTTTATTCTGATTCACTTAACCTTAGTTGCTTTCAATTCTCCTCTAGGAATCTGAAAGAGGGTTCCACTATGACCAATTGATTACAACCAAGTATTGTTCAGTGCCACATCCGACATACAATGAGTAGACAATGCCACTCTTGACAATCCTTAAACCCCACTAAGTTAAAGAACAAGTACACAAGACCTCTCTAGGCACAACATATTCACAAAGACATTAGTGACACACGAGTAGAAAAGGATGCTCTTGGTATGATAAATATTTTTTTTATTGAGTTACTCCTAGCTTTTCGAATATTCATTGCCTCTCCAAACCGAAGTTTGGTATGTTACATGTGGGAAATCAAATAGTATTTTAGGAAAGAATAAATTAGGAAAAATTGTAATCTGTACAGATTTGATCAATTAGGAACAATCCCATAAATTAAGAGATCCTAGAATAAAATAGAGTTATTATATTTCTTAAAATAGCTTAGGTCTCCTGTATATATCTTGTATGATCTCTTTGTATTAAAATAATAAAATAAGATTTCATTTAATCTAATTTTCTAGATGGTATCAAAGCTTCTGATCTAGGAAGTTCTGTGTGCGCACTATAAACCCTAAGACGACATCCTGTATTGCTGCTGCATTTTTCTAAACCCTAAGACGACAGCCTCCATTGCTGTTGCATCACACCTTCTTGCTATAATGTCAAGGGAAGAGGAAGTTGTGAACCCAACCCCAAAAACGGGGAATATCCAATCCCAGCAATCTGGAGAACTGCAGAATATCCATTCTGCATATAGACTAAATGGAAGAAATTATTTGAAGTGGGCCCAACTTGTTCGTACAGTGTTGAATAGAAAGGGGGTAGCCGAACAGAAGAAAGGAGGATCAGCAAATGTGGAGAAGAAAGGTGATGGTCTCTGGTGTACCTACTGCAATAAGCCTCGTCATACTCGAGAGAAGTGCTGGAAGTTACATGGGAAGCCTTTAAATCGAGATCGAGAAGGGGGACACAGAGGAGACTCCTTAAGGAAAGGAGAACAAGTTTATGTTGTTGCTGAAACAAATGAAGGAAATAATCCAGAAGCTGTTGCCCATCTTAACCAAGAGGAGATAATCCAGAAAGGGTGAGAACCTTTCTTAGTAAGTTAGAAAAATCTACAGGTGTGTGTT